GTTTGAAGAAGCATATGATTTAATGAGCAGTTCAAACATATAATTTTCAGACAGTTAATAATAATAACAAAAAGAAAGTCCATAACTCCTGCTGAATCATTATTTATTAAAAAGGTATAGAACAGAATTTCCTGTAAAATAGACAGCCACTCCACATAGTTATACGGTACAAAGTCTCTAATCCGGACGTCCATTATCCGGAACAATCTATAATCCGGACTTCAAAGCCACAAACTTACACATGCGCATTTGATGCATGCGTCTGCTATGCATGCGCGTAAAGCATTTACCCATGCGCGTTTCCGATAGTGAAGAAAGTTACAGAGAACGTTATTGAAAACGGAAAATTTCAATCAACAAGTTAGTTGGTATTCTCGACACAGCAATTACAGGACTTGAACAGTGGAACTTTGTAACAAGAAATTATTTCTGTTTATAGAATTAAAGAGAAAGTATTAGCACAAAAAACGAAGCAACTTAAACAACTTACATTGATAGAAATGTTTACTAAAGTAAAAAAATAAATATTAAGCTTTTTTTTTTTTGTAAATTTTGATACCCTTTAGATCATAATTGCTCTTTATTTCATAAATTACGGTTTCATATTTTTATTTGTATAATTTCTGCATGCCATCTTACCAGGTTTAAATTGATGATGTATAATTTGGCTACACTTGTTTCAGTAAAGCACTACATAACTGAAAGTTAAATGAATGAGCTACAAACAGCTTTTAGTAAATGATCGTTTTTCTATTAGTATGCATTTGTTGCGGTACCTGGAAAAATGAATGTAACAAGCAGCTGAGTTTATTAACTACTGTTTATAATGAGTGGGTACAGTAATATGAAGGCATTTAAGCAAAACCTAGCATTCTGTTCCAGGTTAGAAGTACAAGTAGCAACTAGAAAAATTGAAAACCATTGACAGATTAGAATTTTTTACCATCTTGAGCAGGATTTTCTTCTCTTTATAAAAAGATCCTTTGAAATTCTCTATGAAGTAGAAATTTCATATATTTAAATGCAAAAATAAATAATTTAAATAGTGACTTAGAGAAAAGTAATCACAGAAGCAGAATCTGAACACAACTTATGACTATTAAAGAAAAGTTTCTATGGTTTACTACAGTATACAAGATTTTAGTAGAAATTTTAAAATCTTACTGAAAAGTAACTTTTTTAAAAAAGAAAGTGATACATGCAATTATGAGTATTTGTGGAAACCTAATTATAGAATTAGGCAGATACACACCACTTGGCAATCCACAGAAGAAAAAATCAAACTCTGAAACAGCAGATTTTCTTTTGTCTTTTTATTAAAATTTAGGACTTATGTGCCATTATTTAAAACAGATCTTTAGTTTTCAAAACCATATTAAAATATATGGAAAATCAGAACATTTTAAGTGTTTAAAATAGCAAATTATGAACGTGACACTGACACTGCTAAGCAAAATTTACCCTATTCAAGGCAGAAAAATTCTTATGAAGAGCACACTGAAGAACTTAGCACACTGTTCAGTTACTGATAAGAAGCACACAATTAATTTAATAGAAGCCATTCATTATACCAACATGTAATGATGAACGATAAAATCTTCAAAAATTAACATATAACATTCTGGACATAGTTTCTGAACTAAAAGAAATTAGCTACATTAGAATAGAATATTTTTCTTTATAATTTGAAAGGAACAAAACACAGAAATAAAATGAAGCGTACATGCCAATTACAAGCATGGTTAAAGAACTTGAATCTTTAACAAGACACACCATAAAAATTGGAAAACCAGTAACAATCTGGAAAAAACAACCAAAACTAGTTATTCAATGAAAATATGAAGTAGATCTTAAACAAACTTTCACTGAAAATTACGAATTCCATTCACACAAAATTAAAGTGAAAATTACCAGCCAATAAAATTACTACAATGGAGAAAATGCTAAAAACCAAGATGAAAACAAAGCATTAATGCAGAGAATATTTGCTATATGCAACTATTAAAAGGAAACAGATTTGAATACACTATGTTAAAATAATGGACAATGAAAAATATTTTTTAAGAATTTGCAAATCTAGTGAATCTAAAGTGAGTTTTCTAAGTAATTCAGAAAAAGCATAAAGATTATCTAAGTATCAGATTGAATTGCCCCATAACATTTATTTAAAAAAAGGTTAAGAAAAAACACTAAAAACATTTCCCAGTAAACTTTATAACTGGAACATAACATTTAAGATCCTAAAATATGAATATAATATCAGCTATATCTGTAGAGGGTTTTAGTACAATACAATGCACCGAGTTTTAACACATACGACATCTTGCTATTTTTATATAGTATGATTTAAGAGGGGGACCAAAGAAAATTTATACGTATTTCTAACTGGAACATATGCAAAAGGCACAGAATAAGCAAGCTTTGAAATATTAGCTTCTGTTATAAAACTTTTAACTTAAATTACAACAAATAAAGATACTACGGATCATTCAGTAAAAATTAAGACAGCTTAAACTATTAAAATCTTTAAACAATATTATATATCTCTTAAACTTTTTACACATAATTTAACCTATAAATATCTCTTACATATACCATGAAATAAAAAGGTCTAGTACCAGCTGTCTTATTCTAAACATTTAGTGCACAATTATGCATTTTATTACAAATAAAATTATTTATGCTACAACTTGAAAGCATCAGAGTAATTAAATTGCATTTAAAATTTATCCAGTAGTTATATAAAATTTAGTGATCAAAACTTTACACAGATAATAAAGCTTGACACAAGTGTTGAATGCACTGCATCAATCTTCAAAACAGCTAATATTTTGGCTTTTGAGCAAATTAAATAATCTAATTCCTGAAATTTATAATTATTTTAAATAATAGTCAGTTTGATGTTAATGGCAAAGAACTTGAAGAGTGCCTGCCTATGAAGGGATGCCATTGTGGATGACTTCTTAAGGGCTAGTGGCTTATATTTGCACTATGTAAGAACAAGTATTTTTGAAAACTTAATTTTCTTATACAAGTTTCTATACTTTCAACATCGTTTGGCTGGTATTCAGTTCACATGTAATGTTATAATATTTGTTTAGTCACCTTGAATTTAAGAATATGGCTGTGCAAGACTTTTTAGTAAGATAATCATTGACAAAGTACCTTTCTATGTACACATACAAATTCTTTATTGCATGTGTGCAAATAATTAGAAAGCAAGCACCAACCTCCAGTTAAAATGCACTCAGTTTCTCTCTTCAACTTTGGTTAAATGAAAATTATTAAAAAAAAAATCTTGACATGCTGTGCACAAAATTTACACCATAATAATGTTACTTAGTAAAAATAATAATGTTACTTAAATAAAGAGTTTTGCTATTGATCTTTTTAACGCTTTATATACAAGATTTACAGGGGCCATCAGGAAAGATCCATATTACACTAAATTGACTAGAAAGTGCAGCTTCTTTTAACTAATATACTAACAGATATATAACATGTAAACATATATACAGTTAATGCCACAAGAACGGTATAGATACATGAATAATTATAATATGCAAACACAGAATTAAACAACATATAAATGCCTTAGTGCAATTGGGAGAAAATATGTAAAGCATAATGCTATAAAAAAACTGAATTTTTTTAAAATTTAACACCATCACATTTTTTTTTTTTAAATCAGCAACAAGCAAATTAAAAATTTTTCTGAAAGGAATGTGAAAAACATTTTAGATACAGTTAGCACCTCAATTTACACCAGGAGCTCATAAATTGAAAACATTTCAATTTGAATCACTGGGAAGTAAATGACAAATGTTCCCTGTGCCAAAATAATTTTGATTAATAGAATGTCTTCACAATTGCAATTCTGAAATAACATAAATGTAATAAAAGCACACATGCAACATCATAGAGGTAAAAAGAACTTTTCTTTGGAGGAACTCTACAAATCTGATATTTGCAGAGAAAACTGACACAGTTCTTAATATTTTGAAAGAAAATTAGAGGGAAGGGCATGTTTAACTGTAAATGGAAACAAAATAATTAGGTTAACTGAAATTTAACATACAGTAGTGTTTTTTCCTTCCATAGAAATGAATTAAAAAATTAAACTTCATAACACGCATTATTTTGTTTAATTGTGATAGACATTTCTAAGATACTCAAAAATCACTCACTGTGAAAGGTAAAAGCATTTTTAGAAACATGAGAGAAGCAATTAAAATTTAATGTTTAAAGTAATTTTTTTAAAATGAAAGTAATCTGAATATACTGTCATTATTTTAAAGACGTCAAAACAATAAACAACATTCCTGCATTTATTCTAAAATTATTATGACATACATAAATGAAGAACGTTAGAGGGGTCTTAAAGTTGATTATCTGTCAAACATTGATACAAAATGGGAAAGTAAAAAAAAAAAAAAAACTTTCTGATGAGAGAAAATCAAGATGAAGTCAGAAGGGAACTCATATGCTTGCCCAAAATGAATACTTACACAATTAAAATACATATTTGGTAGCAAATATGAAAACTGGAAGGACTTTACTATCATTATTCTGCAGCATCATTAATAATTTCATTTTTAAAATCTGCCTGTAAAATAACAGAACTAAAACAGACTTTATCAAAGTTAGCTTGCTTGTGTAAAGAATTTTAAGAAATAAACGTGCTAATGTGGCTCTTTTGCACAACTGGATTTTATAAGCTACCACTCTAATACTAGTCAACTCCCAGTTAACTGATGGCAGATTAACCAGGTCTTCTGTAAAAGAAAGTTTATTGAAGAATAAAAAAAATAATCATAAACCATCAGTACGAATGAAAACTGTCTACAGAAAATATAAAAAGGAAAATAAGTTTGCATTGTATAACAGCTGTAACAGTTGATGATATCACAGTACTAGGGAATTGTTTCTACCTACATCAGCATGCAATTCAATTGTAAACAGTTTGGCATTGTACTGTCCAATAAAAAAAAAAAAAAAAAAAAAAAAAAAAAAAAAAAAAAACTAACCAAATTTTTACATGAGCTTAATGACTTTTTAAGTTCTGTTGTAAATATTGTTCCTTAATGTCACTTTATAATTTAGTTTCTCCATTTTCATTGATGCTTTCATTATTTATAAAAATGTTATTTTTCCTTTGAATACTAATTTATGTAACCACATGAATTTATTCTACATATTAAACTGCATGGAAACATAGGTAAATGATAATCTGTATTTTTCTGTTATTTATAATAAGGCTTTTTTTTCTTTCATGCAATCTTTTACTTGCTCTCAGAAAACGCAATTTTGAGTTAACAATGGATGCCATCGCCACTGATTTATAAGATGACTGCATATTTGCACTGGGTAAATTTTATCAACACACTTAAACTTCATCACACAACCAGGAACTACAGTGTAGGAATGAAATCCCTTAAAAGTACACATTAATACTCAAATGCTTATACTTGATAAGCAGTTTTTACTGATCATCTAACCATAATAGAATAATTTGCATATTGAAAGGAAAAAACTCCAAGAATTATGATTTAGTACAAGCAGCAGCACACAAAAAAGTAAAATGTTAAAAATATGTTTTCACATTCCTCTAGGTTTAAAACTAGTATTATTTTGAATTATCAGAAATTGAACCGGCACAAACTGAGGGCTACCTGTATACAGACTCTTACACTTTACTTTCTGCTCCCAATAACTTATTGATTTTCTAAGACAAGCCTGAAGAAAACATCCAAGGCACACAACTCAATACATAAATGAAATTTGAAGCAGGATGCTTTCTGAAACCTGGTAAGCCAAAACACAGAAATATAAATAAAGTCTTTAGAAAATACATATCTAATGACATGAAACATACACAAAAATTATATATCACGTTTTGGGACAGTTTTACATGCTTTTGTACCCTTGCCAGCTGCTAGATATTTCTTGTTCACCATTTCGAAGTGAATTTGATTGAGATTTTTCTTTTTTTCTTTTTTTTCGACAAATTCGCTCTTGAACTATATCAACAGGATCTGACTTGGTCATTGATACCTGGAAAGTAAATTTTTTTTTTTTTTGCTATAATAAAACATACAAAAATTTTGTGCATAAAAGTATTAATAATAAAATATTTTTCATCCATAACTGCAAATGAAAGTATTCAAAGGCATTTAATTCTTTCCATACTTATGCTTATTCCTAACGAACCCTTTCAAAGCTTCTGCCATATAGATGCCTAAATAACAGACTGAAAGATCCTTCTTAAAAAATCTAAAAATTAAATAAATAGCATGAAGAAACAATGGCTTTCAAACTCTTTGGAAAATATTTTGCTCATTTCTGATGACATGAAAAGACACATAAATTATGAAGAAGCTGAAATCATGACTCAAAGCCTTACTGTATGCTTTCAACATGATGTTCCTTCATGTTTACCAGTTATTCATGAGTACATTCAGCAAACAAACTACAAATCTCCACATAGTAAAACACCACAACACTAAGGTAGTATTCTTTCTAATTTAAAAGCTAGAAAGAGAAAAGGAAGAAAAATATACAAACAATACTCATCTTGCAAGTGGATTCAAAACCAGAGTTAGCAACCTCGGTATGAAATGATAAAATATATGCACTTAGATAGATTAAAGACCTGTACTTTACAACAAACACACACTTAACAACAAAAATCATCTCCATTATACATCTTTAGAAAAGCAACATAGTCTGTTATTCAGACTAGAATGAACAGTGCTTAGCTGGAATCTTAATGGAATACTATATATGAGGTCGTTAACCTATTAAATAAACAGAATTTTATTAACTAAGTACTTAAAAAAGAAAAGAATCACATCATTTAAATTTTATATCTTTTTCTGCATAAGCAAATTACAACATCAATCTCTCTACCACCTCCCTTCTTTCACATCACATTTTTTATTCATCTCAACTATAAACTCTGATGAAGAGATATTCTAAAAATGGCAGAAGGTGATAAGATGGTGAATTATCAATGAAGCAAGACTAAATACAGTGAACTCTAGAAACTAACGTAAATTTCATGCCAATCTTTAAAACAGCATGGAGTTTAACAATGCCTTGGATTACCTACTCTTTTCCAGTAACTCATACTTTTGCTACTTCAGTAACATGATATTTATCATCTGTAGCTGCCCACAACATGCAGAGTTAGCGATGCTTTGATTTAATAGCTAAAGTGCACTTCAGTAACTGCTGTAAAAAGGCAGTTAAGTTATGCCACATGCATGAAGATCTTGCACTGGAGGCTTTTGGTATAGCAAACATTGATAAGATCCATGAAATACATACATAGTTCATTCACTATTTTTTTTTTTTGTTTTGTTTTTGGTTACAGTTTGATCCTTTTCATGCCACTCCAATTATAAAACTACATTACACAGTAGAGATGACTGCATACAGCTCCCTCAGCCAATAAGAATCAAATGGTTATTTCTCTGTATGTCAGACAAAAGCTGAACTCATTTAACTGTGTTAAAATGTCATTGTGAACATCTATTGATGAACCTTTGTAAACTAAAACCTCTACTTTTCTAGTTGTCAATGCATTACATGCTTGATGCATCTTTTAAGAAGCTGTAATCATATTACGGCCTACTGAGAATTTAAAAAAAAAAAAAAAAAAAATGCTACTATGATTTTCACTTTGCTGCTTATGACTTTAAAAGCTTTGTTCAGCAACAGAAAGCAATTTCACTAACCTGAAAGTGAAATGCTCAATAAATAAACACTTTATGTTGTAACTAGTATGTGCATGGATATGTAAAACATAATTAGAAATCAATTTATAAGCAAACTGCAAAGGAGTGACAGAACATTTAAATGTCTTGACACATAATATAAATTTAAGAGAGTATTGCTTCTTGATTTATCATATTATATCTTATTATCAGATTATAGCTATGGCGTAAAAACAAGATCCTCCTTTTTGATGCTACCAATAACTTCTTAAAAAGTAGTCATCTAGATTATTTTTGTATTCCTAACAAATATTGAATGCCAGTTAAAATAATTTGACTGCAAATTAAAGGCACATTAAAATTGATTATTTATTAAAGAAAAATCCAAAGAAGCTCAGTTCCAAGGCTCAAATAAAAAAAACTTTACCACAGGTTTTGAAGATGTAAGAGATGGAAAATCTGATTCTGACTCCAAGGAATAGTTCTGGTCAGGGACATCACTTTGTAGATGATAGTCTTCTTGAACTGATGTTTCTTTTTCACTAAAATTACCAAAAAATATTCAGAATGTATAACTGAACTAATTATAATTTTACTCATAAAAACCTATTTGCATGCAACTTACTTAATATATCCATGCAGAAATGGACAGGTAATCCCTTTGAAACAAGCATTCTCTTGCCAAAATCGGCATGTTATGGATGAAAGATCATGAGAAAACTTACAGTCACTGCGATGACAATTTCCTTCCATAAAAAAGGAGCATGGCCGTTTCCAAGGTGGGTGCTCTACAAAATAATGAAATGCATGATGAGTATGACATACACAAGCACAACTTCCTATCATATATGCCGGGTGCCTCAGTATCAAGGTTACAAACTTGTAGAAAGGATAGGGTGCATCCAGGTTATTTGGAATCACACAGCAAAGTAAGGTTGAAAATTTGTGGTAGTGTACACAGGAAATACCAAAAATGAAATGAAAACTACATAAATGAATAACACACTTTAATAAAAAATGTAAATATGCAAAAATAACAAAGGTCAAAGAAAGTGGTTTGAGGTCATTTACAAATTGTAATGCAGGCTTCACAGCTCAGATGCATGGAATTTCAAATATTCTGAAAGATTCTGAGCATGTTTCACATTTTATTTTTCTGCCAGCTGCTGCAATGTATACAACTAGTTTCTTAGTGCTGTCAATGGGGGTATCGTACGCCAGTGTCTTCATATGTCAGACGAAATGACGATACATCTGGTTGCTGCCTGTGCAGACCAATGCATCGGATGACCCCGTCCAGTCCACTGTTGGCCAAATACAATGTGTAAGTGGTTATGAATGTTATTGTTGAAATGGGCAGAGGCTCCATCATGATGGACTCACAATGGAAGCTGCGCCAATGCAGAAAGCTATTTATGCCTCAAAAGTAGTGGCTACACACTCCAGAAATACCAATCAGACAAAAAAGCAACAGATGAAGTTTGATGAGGTGATCTCTCACAATGCCAGCCTAAATGATTGCCAATGAATGGCTCCGCACTGCATGACTTTCTGTCACATGGGGATTTGCCACTGCCCATATATGGGCATTATGTGTATTGAAGATTACTCCTTTTGTAAAGCACAACTCATCAGTGAACACAGCAGGGAAAATGGGATCTGCAGTATGCTACAGCAGAAAGCATTGTTCAAAAGCAATGTAAGGTGCATAATTATCCAGTTGCAGGGTCTAGATGCAATACACATAATACAGATGCACTTCATTTCCCTTAAGAATCCTCCACATACTGCAGCGAGAAAACACAACATCATGTGCTATAGCTCGCATACATGAACTTGGGGCATCCTGTATATGATATGGTAAAGTTTTCTTGATGTCTGAAGTCTGCTAATTGCTTCTAACTGATGCCAGCTATCTGAAAGAACCCTACGAGTTTACAGCTGAGAGTACACCTCATTGGACAACATCCACACAACCACCATACTTCCTATTCCTATTCCCACTACACTAAACAGTTCTATATACCAGATGCATATCAGTTCTCTCTGCATTTGTATAATCACCCATTCTACTACTTCTGCATTCATGTAAAAGAGTTAAGTTCCATTTAACAACATGCACACACACAAAAGAGGAAACTATTATTTGGAACTAACCTTTATTAATTAATGAACTACAGTGGTCAGACTATATTTTTCGACACAGATACCACCATTGTTTAGGCATTTATTGTAGTGGGGCACGAGGGTCTGGATGCCCTCATCAAAGAATGCTGTCGCCTGTGATTGGTGCCCTTGGGTAACAATGGATCTGATTTTGTCCCAGAACTGCTTGCAACCAAGAAAGGACTTTAGTTGCTCGTAAAGATGAAAGTCACATGGCTCAAGATCTGGGCTGTAGGGGAGGTGGTTAAAAACTTCCCATCATAACTCCATAAGGCATTGTTTCATGTCACATGTCCCACATGGTGTGTGGTCGTGCATTGTCATGATTGAGCAAAATTCTGCCTGAAGCATGCCACAATGCTTATTCCGTATTTTATTAAGCAGTTTTCTAAGTGTCTTGTAATAACATGCCATGTTGAATGGTTGTCCGCATGCCATGAAATCCACATGCAAAATGCCGCATTGATCCCAAATCACTGTACACATTAATCTGCGACACGTGATTAGTGTCTTGGCTTTTGTCTGTGTTGGAAATGTGCCTCCATTCCATCGATTGCAGTTTGGATTCCAAGGTTGCATGTCACACTCAGGTCTCATCAATTGTCATGATCTGGCTTTAAGAAGGCATCAACCTCTTCATTGTACCATGTTATGAAGTATAGAAAACTGCCCTGATGTTTCAATCTCAGCTGCTCTGCCACAGGTACTTGAATACACAGTTTTTAGAACTTCAGTTTTTCAGACATAACCTTGTGCAGAGCTGACCTGGAAATCTGACAAAATTCCAAGAAAAGCGATAATATGGTGAAAAGTCTGTTCTCCATAACCTTCCTATTAACTTCTGCAATCGTAGAGATGGGTGCCCACTTTGTTCATTATTGTAAATGCTTGACCGTTTTAAAAAAATCTAAACTCTCACCAAACAAATGCCACATAAGTCAGTGATCTCAAAATGCCTTTCCTCACTTGGCAATGACTCAGCACAAAGAATGTGCATGCTTGAATTAATGCAACTATTCCACAGCAAAAATGAAAAATAGAACTTATTTCTGGATTACCTATGTATAAAATGAAGCTCTCCTGCATAAATACTTGGATTAACTTTCTAGAAACGGCAGTACAACTGTTGTACCTCAAAATTGACTTGCTTTTAAGTTGGCTATGGTACAACTGTCGTACCAAGGTTTCTGTCCCCCTTATAGAGTAATTGCCTATCTTTAGATTCTCTGGGTGGTCCAGTTTCCTGTTCAGAGCAGCCTCTGGCTATGCATTGTTTCCAGTTTTTTATCTGGTAGGCTAATTTTTGGCGAAGACCGTAGGTTTTGTCTCGCGCCAATGTACTTGAAAATAAAACAAATGCTACCTCTCTTTCAAACATTGGAACTTTTTCTTGTGATTCTGTGTAACTCGTGTTCTTATTCAGTATTTATAATGGCACCTCGTTTCAAAGGTCTCAATCAGGACGAAATTAATAAGTTACTAAGAGATTTAGAAGAGGAAACTTTTGCCTATGTAGATTCGGATTGTTCAGCTACAATAAAGAAGAAATATGTTTAAACAATCTTTTAATGAAGATAAAGTTACCGATGACTTCAAAAGCAACACTAATAATTTATTTGAATGGAGACAGCCAAATGAGCATGACAAAGCTAACATACTGACCTTTACTGGTAAACCTGGTATAAAGACTGAATTTTCAGGAGCTCATCTTGCTGTTGATTTTTAAAATTATACTTTTCAGATGAACTGTTTAATATGTTAACCAGAGAAACTAATCAATATGCTTCTCAAATCTTAGAGTTGCAGCCAGATATACGCGGAAAAAGAAAGCATGAAAGTGATTGGATGCCAGTTACATCTGATAAGCTTCAGAAATTTTTTGGATTAATCTTACTCATAGGACGTATTGAAAAGGACAGCATTCGAGATTATTGGTCCACGGATGATTTAATTAATACACCAATTTTTCATAAGGTAATGTCAAGAGATAGATTTTTAATGATTTAAAAATTTTTGCAAATTATAACACTCTGAAAATTTAAAAAGTTTTTGGTCATTTCAAAAAAGCTTATAAACAAATTTACAGCTGCGCAGAAGAACTCGTGATAGACGAAATTATTGTCAGATTTAAAGTGTGAGTAATATATAGACAGTATATCTCAAAGAAACATGAGTAGTGGGGTATAAAATTATACAAGATCGCTGATAAGGAAAGTTACACCTACGATATGGAAGTTTACCTTGGGAAAGATAAATCTAAGGATCCCAACTTCTCAGCATCTTATAATGTCATTAAAGAAATGAGAGGCACTATCAAAGCCATAAATTATTTATGGATAATTTCTTTTCCTTGCCAAAACTTTTTGTTTATTTATTAAATGAAAATAAAATAAATTCATGTGGAAATATTTGTCCGAATAGGAAGCATTTCCCCAAAGATGTAAGCAAAGGAAAATTGAATACTGGAGAAACGACTGTGTGTTTCACAAATGGGATGACAGCTCTATGCTGGAAAGATAAGCATGACATTTTTATGCTGTCAAATATGCATAATCCAATGGTTATAGCCGATGAGCAGACAAAACCCGAGATCATAACATGTTACAACAAAAATGGCTATAGATTTATGTGAGCGCTGGCCAAGTTATATTCTAGAAGAAAAACTTTGAAGTGGAAAAAAACTATTTTTCATCTACTTGACCTAACAGTGTAAATGTGTATGTTCTAACAAAAGACATATCAAAGCTCCATGGTTTTTTGGATGAATTTGATTAGAGAGGATCATTATTCTGATCTTCAAGCTCATACGCTGTCTCCATCAAGTCCAAAAAAACAATGCAAGTATCTATGCTCCCATTTCCCTTTTGATGCAAAGAAAAGACGAAGATGTGCTGTTTGTTCTGCAAAAGGTTTACAGTGGATGTCAACTGCCATATGTTAAACATGTGATGTAGCACTCTGAAAAAACTGTTTTGAAGCTTATCACACGCCATTTCAGAAAAACAGTTAAAAAAAATAACAGTAGTTAATTAAATGTAAGCAACCTTCCTATAATAGCAAAAACAAAACAAAAAATTAATAATTTTACATCAGAAAACAAAATCAGAATTAAATAGAGCATGTCTCTATTAAAGGCCTTTTTATAAGGGCCAAAAATTGGGGGAAAAAAAAAAGAAAGAAAGAAAGTACACTCAGATGATCACGCCGAACATAATACGTTACGACAAAAACCATGAAAACGGCAATGAAGCCCATGATGCCCTTATTCTCACTATGATACGAACCTGAGAAAACTACCAGAGTAAAGCCACTTTAGTGCTCGCCGCTGATGGGCCTGTAAAAAATAGTTCAAGAGAAATTTCTGAAATAACCGATTTAATTTGCTAACCTATGTTTAACACTCGGCAGTAATAAATTAGACATTTTAGGTGATTGTTTGCGAATAAACTACATTGTAGTTTTCTCCAATGTTTCATATTACGATTTTACATGAAATTTTCAGTGTTTCACATTACGATTTTACAAGGAATTACAGCACTTTGGTGTTATTTCTCGTGCATTTATTTTGCTCTATTCATCATTCTGATTCCTTATTCTGTTGAAGAGAAGATTTTGCACTTTA